CAAAACATATACCAAATTCAACAATTTCGACATGTGCAATTCAGTGAAAGTGATTACATTCTTCAGGTTGTACAATCATTCCTGCTGTCCTTTTCCAAATTATTCTTCACCATTAACATACACTCACTGCCCCCTAAGCTTCTTATCTAACCTTTCAAGTTGTTGTTGTCTCATTTATTTCTTTAAATATAGTAATTTCCTCAAGTACATCTGGGGAGGCAGGATCTTATAACAAGGGTTGATGAGGATAAGGTACCAAAAGCTAGACTCTGGAAGGCCCATGGAAGATCCCACTGCTGATCTGGGATGGGACTGCCAGCTGAGCCACCTGTCTCTGGATGGACCAGAAGGATGTAGGCACGGAGCCATGTCAGCAGCAACCACCACAACCGACCAAGGCCTCCCCCCATTTTCTGTGCCAGGCTTGTTGTTTGATCCAAGGGAGGGGAAAGCAGCCCAGAAAATTAAACACAGTGGACTTCTTCCAAATCATACCAATAATAATCTCCTCAAACATTTTTTCATTTGATTCTCAAAGTCACGCTGAAATTAATAAAAGTAACTTATATGCCTGAGTTATAGAAAAGATACAAGATGGAAAAGGGAAATGGAGGCTTTTCAGCATGCCTGAGGAGGGCTAGTAAGGAAACTGACATCTTCAAGCACTAGGCAACAGGGTACTTTTTAAATGCCACATTTAAAAATGCCAATGTGGCATTTAAAAAGTACCCTGTTGCTTGGTATTAAATGTGGTATTTAAAAAGTAGAGATTTAAAATAAGGCATCTGATGCATTCCCCAGAGCCATCTTAGAGAAAACTGAGGCTCAGCAAGGTTAGAAACTTAATTTGTGCAAGATCACAGAGCCTGTGAGCAGCGGGGCCAGGATTCAAACTGAGCGCATTCTGGCTCCTACCTACTGAGATGTGTTTGCAAAAATGTAACATGACCCGAAGAACAACACAGCACCACACCCCAGTGGCCGAGACTTAAAATTGGAAAGTAAAGATCCACAAACAAGAACAAGAAAGCACTCTGCAGATGGCTCCTCAAGGCAAGATTTAACACAGGATACCAGACCAAGTATGTTTTCAGTTCAAAGACGTCTGCGGTCCAAGCTTGGATAGTATCCTTGCACTGTAACGGTGCCTGCACAGCAATAAGGGTATGAGTCCGCTACACCTGCATATGTGTGTCTGGGGAGCCCAAGTATGTGTTTAAGCATTAGAAAGAGAGAAAACAGAGTACATACATGCCCTGCAAACATCTGCCATGAGTAGGTTACTTTCACAAGCAGTAAAAAAGTAAAAGCCCTAGGTCTTTTACAAGTAGTAGAACATCCCCAACACCCACAGAGTGCCCAGGTACCAAGTGTGGTGTTCTTCATTTATTCCAAGTACGCATTTGGCATGGAAGAGATGGTAAAGGATTCTAACTTTTATCTTCCACCATAATAATAATCCCATCAAAAGCACCAAGTACCTAGTCACAAAAACATATGGTTGTAGACTCTAAGTTTTATAATCTAAGAAAATACTGAACACTCTGAGTAAAACATGTTAGGCAGACAACGAATAGCTCACTGCATTAACGTGGAGTACCTAAAAGATTTTAATGAATCATGCAACACGATGAAACATTACACACCTAACTTATACTGCTGAGTAAACGTAGCCTATCTTCGTGTTACTAGAATTCTTTTTCTATAATGAGGTGATTTGGATCCAAAGTGGAAAAGAGAAGTGGCTAGTGATATCATTTTTCACACTTCTTCTCTCTTACATTTTATTAAACTTTTTTGGGGGGTGGGTGGGGGGGTGAATCAGCTATAATTGCATGCCAGGAAGCCAGCATGTGAATGTAAAGTACTGGGCTTCTGGAGTCAGAGCGACCAAAGTTCACATTCCAGCTCCACTATTTATTAGCCATTTTTACCTCGGACATATTGCTAAAGCTCTCTGGGCTTCAGCTTCCTTGTCAAGAAAAATGGAGATAATACTACTCTCATAATAATCACCAGTATGATTGCAATGATGCGAAACATTATAATGTGCAATATTCACGATGACTTAGAATGGGCCATGTATGCACTGTACTATGTACTTCCCTCCCTAAGTCCTCACAACACCAACCGGTTGCTATTGAGTCAGTTTCGACTTACAGTGGCCCTACAGGACAGAGCAGAACTGCCCCGTGGGGCTTC